TTCCTAAACCTTTTTATGGTGCCAATTCGGTCGTTGTGCCAATTCAGTCCTTCCGGCCAAATTTGGCCGGAAGGACTGAATTGGCACGAAGACAAAAGGTTTAAGATTAAATTGGCACAAATACAAAAAGTTTATGACTGAATTGGCACCATAAAAAGGTTTTGGACTAAATTGGCACCAATACAAAAGGTTTAGGACTAAATTGGTACCAAAAAAAGGTTTAGGACTAAATTGGTACCAAAAAAAAGGTTTAGAACTAAATTGGCACAAATGCAAAAGGTTTAGGACTTTTTTGGCACTTTTCCCCCAATTTATGGGTAGGTGATCAGACAAATAAGGAGTAGCCAAGGATACCACAGAGGACTCAATTATTATTGCTGAACTCTAGTTTATTGAAGAGAGGCGGACAAAGACCAAATGAGAAAGCTCTCAAATTTCCAAAGGGTCAAACACAAACCCAATTAGAAGCCGAAGTGTGAAAAGAGGAAAAGAAAGCAATAACATGGGCGTTCCCCACCTTAAGTGCAATAATGCCCCTCTTCAATAACTCAATGATTACTTGGTTTCTCTAAGTTCATACAGATAGTGCATTGATTAGGCCTCTATTTAAGCATACCCACATTTTACTTCACCCTCAACTAGTGAGAGAGAGATCATATCAAGAACTCCAGCTCTTCACTTGATTCGTGCCCATGTCTCTGGTGGTGAGTAGCTTCGTGCCGAAGACCTGCACGGTCCATGTAATTCCAAGGCCAAAGCTCAAGTTGAAGCAGCCATGCATACCGAGGATGTTTGTCATGTAATTATAATTCATAGCCCCCAAATTTAATTTTGCTCCGTTTCTTCAGTATTGAAATGAATTGTATAGAGCATTTTGCGTGTCATCAAGCGTGCGAAATAGCTTAGCTTCTGTCCTTTCTTTCTTTGATTGCGAGGATTTTTTAACCTTTAACCTTGCATGTCTTTTACTTTCATCGCTTATGAGCTCCGAAACATGCGATGTAAAGATAATTTTTTATGAAAGTCTTATATATCCTCGGGGAGCTAACTGACTCTTTTTTTCAAATAAATATTTCATGCAAATAATTATGGTTTAGGTTCTGGTTAGCATTAGTGTATGGGGAGAAAGTATTTGGTGCTGCTTATCTGGGAGATAATGCATGATTAACAAGTTGAATCATATTTAGGAAATTATTTAGTATGAATTATTGTAACGAGAGAGCGGATGATAATCACATTAACACGTGATTTTTCTTCTCGGGAGAGATCAGTAGATGCAAACAAGAGCCACAGAAGCCCCCAATCAAAACAGGCAAAAGCCCTCCTCAGCATAATAACTCACCCGATGCAGCGAAGCAGGACGAGAAACAGAGCAAAGCATCAGTGCAGAAAGCTGGAGACGACAGCGACAAAAACATTGCACAGGCACAAGCAAGAACAACTGAGGCCATTGAGTAGATTTCTGCGTGAAACAAAGAGAGCTTATGCAGAAAAGCGAAGATATGGCGGAGGATAGGATCGAATCTTTTTGAAGCTTGTAGTAGAGAATTAATAGAAATCTCTGTATTTGTAATATATGAATAAGTCGTTGTCGAGTAGTTCAGATTGTTTATATATTACTGGTGTGGCTTTGTTTTATGTCTTGTCGATCGCTAAGCTTAGTCTGATGCGTGAGAAGCGCATGTTATATGGTGTGTAATGGCCATGCAATGAAGCTTGTGGAAATAAATACTTGTTGAAGTTTGTGAAATATCAAGATTTGGGAGGAGAAAGTTGGATAAAACTTGAAATTTTCTCTCCCAAAAAGGGATTGTTTTTTATGCATATTTTATCTCCCAATCTCTCATTTTCCTCCTCCTCCATGTTCCCTAGCAAAGCCTAATTGCAGACAATCCATTCAACCACTATTTCATCAGTATGATTGTCTATAATGTAAACATAAAGATCGAATCCATAGAAATAATCGAAGAAAACAAAGGCGAAGTAGTTGCGAATGTGATGCAATTCATATTCTGTTCCCATATAAAAGTAGAATGTTACGGGGCTCATTGTTTGAATATGATATCCTATGGTTTCAAGTGCCAGTCGAGCATATCGAACATTGACTAAAAGATTTCTGGTTTATAAAACTGGATGCATACTGTTTCGATCAGCTGTCATGAAGTCAATACGGTCAACTTTCTTCTCTTTATTGGACTGAGCAGTAAGCAAAGGACGACTTTGAAAGCGAATAAACCACGCCTACCAAAAAACAAAAAGAGAAGACACAGAATGAAATTATCATCAGGCTCATTTATTACAATGGAACCCTGTCGTCTTGTGTTAAGCCGTTGATTCTCGCAGATATCCTTTAGCCATGATGTCTAACTAGGCCTAGAATAATGTTCAAATGCGATATTTTCACCACGTCATATTCTAACGTACTGCGTATCACTTCATTTTTCTGTTTGTTGGCATTTTAAAAATAAATTCTGAAAGAAAGGAGGTCATTAAATTGATTTGATACCATGTTAAGTACACAACAAGTCCTATAAATATTTTTATGAAGGATGCAACATCTTATCATAAATGCTTTTGGTCTGTATGTTTATGTGTATGTAACCCCATTTGGTGTGACAAAGAGAAAAGAAAAGGATGGAAACCATTTTAAGGGTAGGTGACAAGACAAATATGATGTAGTCAAGGATACCACATAGGGCTCAATTATTGCTGAACTCTAGTTTAATAAAGAGGGGACAAAGACCAAAAGAGAAAGCTCTAAAAATTTCAAAGAGTCAGACACAAATTCAATTAGAATCCGAAGTGTGAAAAGAGGAAAAGAAAGCACTACACGGGGGTTCCCACCTTAGGTGTAATGTCCCTCTCCATGAACTCCATGACTGCTTGATTTCTCTAAGTTCATATAGATAGTGCATTGATTAGGCCTCTATTTAAGCATAACCACATTTTACTTCACCCTCAACTAGTGAGATAGTGAGAAAGATAGGGAGATCATATCGAGAGCTTTAGCTCTTCAGTTAGATTCATGCCCATGTCTATGGTGGTGAGTAGGTTCGTGCCAAAGACCTGCACGGTCCGTGCAATTCCAAGTGCAAAGCTCAAGCTCAAGCTCAAGCAGCTATGCAAACAGAGGATGTTTATCATGTAATTCCAGTTCATAGCCCCCTCTAACTTAATTTTGCTCCATTCTTCGGTATCAACGAGAATTGTACAGAGCATTTGGCGCCTCATCAAGCATGCGAAATAGCTTTGCTTTTGTCCTTTCTTTCTTTGGTTGCGAGAAATTTTTAACCTTTAACCTGCATGTCTTTTACTTTTGTTGCTTCTGAGCTCTGAAACATGCGACTTGCGATATATTGATAATTTTTTTGATAAAAGTCTTACGCATCCTCGGGAAGCATAAATGATTTTTTCCATTCGCAAAAGGTTGAGCGTTCGAATCCCGAGCGCCGCAGGGTGACTTAACCGGTGGCACGTGTGTGGTGGCTAGCACGTGTCGCCCCCAGGGTTTACCCCCTGGCTGTCGGCCGTGCGGGGGTTCCCTGGGTTACCAAAAATATATATATATATATATATATATATATTTCATGCAACATATTTTTGTTTAGATTCTGATTAGCATTAGTGGGTGGGGAGAAAGTATCTGGTGATTATCTGGGAGATAATGCATGGTTTAACAAGTTGAATCATACTTAAGAAATTATTTAGTATGAATTATTGTAACGAGATCTGATGATAATGACATTAAGCACGTTATTTCCTTCTCGGGAGAGATCAGTAGATGCAAACAAGAGCCGCAGGAGCCCCCAATCGACAAAGGCAAGGACCCTAAGAAGAATGACAAGCCCGAGGCAGCGACGCAGGGCGTGAAAGAGAGCAAAGCATCAGTCCAGAAAGCTGGAGATGACAGCAAGAAAAATATGGCACGGGCACAAGCAAGAACAACTGAGGCCACTGAGTAGATTTCTGCATGAAACAAAGAGAAATTTTCTGCAGAAAAGCGAAGATACGGCAGAGGATAGGATCGATTCTGTATGAAGCTTGTCGTAGAGAAATAATAGAAATCTCTGTATTTGTAAAATATGAATAAGTCATTGTCGAGTAATTCAGTTTGTTTAGATATTACTTGTGTGGCTTTGTTTTATATCTCGTCGATCCCTAAGCTTAGTCTAATGCGTGAGGAGCGCATGTTATATGGTGTGTAATGGCCATGCAATGAAGCTTGGTGGAAATAGATACTTGTTGAAGTTTGTGAAATATCAAGATTCCCTATGAAGTTTACTGTTGATATACACCCGTTATCGTCTAGTTTCATATTTAAGTTATCACAAACAACTATGTTGGAATTTATCAAATTCGATAAAAAAATCCATTGCGCGGACTATGGAGGATCTTTTATACTGGAATATATAGTGATTATCAAGACAAAAAGAAAATTGCATTTTTTCAATTAAATGATCCAGTTAACTACTCGTATAACAAACATTTTACCAAACTTAATAAAAAAATGTAACTTTTTCCGTGCATTTTTTTTTGGTCGAATTTCCGTGCATCTTTATAAAGGAAAGAAATGCAAAAAATGGGATGTAAGAATAAATATGATTACTGATTGGTGAAAATATAAAAACCTTTTGAGCAAAATTGTCAACAATGTTAGGACCCTTCTTTACACTTTTGCCCCCTTTAATGATACAGTGGCATCGCCATTCCTGCATGGCTGTGGACATATAATTGAAATACAGGGAAAACTTGCACATAATGTCAACTTAATTTTTAAATGCCTGCTTATAACGTGAGTTGCGGTAGATACTCATGGACAGTTATCGTTTAGCAATGTTTGTTTTCTTCAATTTGCAGAGAAAAGAAGAACTTGCAGGATTTAAAGAGTGTATTTGTGTTTGATGCTGCTGATCGGGAGTCCCCGGACAGTCCAACTGTTAAATTCATAAAGGAACTTTTTCAATTAGAGGGTAAGTGCTGATGGATCAGTTCTGTTACCGATGCATGGTAAAGAACATGTTGCTGCAACAGTTGAGTAGTGAGTACATTGGTGCAGTGAGAATATTGCTCATTTAGACATCCGGAGATAAGTTGTGTTTGACTGAAACTTATGTGATGGAGTATGGAAGTAAATTTTTGCCTGATTCTTGACTTTAAATCTTGCACAGTTCTTTATGTGAAAAATTGACAGTCAGTGTGGCATTATGGTTGGATCTCCAGAAAATTTGCTTTACAATGCTCATTGGGTGGCACAAGCTCTTTTACGTAAAGGGTATGCTACATAAAACTTCTTGTAAACATGTGAAGCAAGAATCATTATTTTGTCCTTTCTTTGCTATTAACAGGGAAGTTGTGTTTTTAGAATTTGGTAGTAATTTAGAATGCAACTACTGCAGATCTGCAAAGACAGCGGACAAACGCATTCTTATTTTTACTGATGAGGATGATCCTTTTGGGAACATCAAGGGTGGGGCAAAAGCAGATATGACCAGGACCACTTTGCAGCGTGCCGAAGTATCATCTGCTATTGATATGACAATTTGGTTCCTGTCAAGGAATTTTCCTAATGTCCAATTTTGATTTTCTAGGATGCACAAGATCTGGGAATATCAATTGAACTTCTTCCCGTGAGTCAGCTTGGCAGGGAATTCGATATTTCACTTTTCTATGCTGTATTCCCTTGCCACTGCCCTCTTATTTCTCACGTTGTCATCGACGACCTTCATTTACATTGATCGCAAGAACTTGATGCATTTCAGAACTTGATTATATTGCAAGGAGAGGATCTTGCTCAATTTATGCCTGTTGTCCGAGAGAGGTAAGCCATTTTTTCATTGCTTTCTTGTTGATTATAAGTGCATGCTTGGGGCTATATCTCATTTCTTTTGATGGAATCTGGAAATGGTACCTTACCTTCAAATGACTTGAAGGAAATCAATTACGGGACTCTAGTTACCTTAGAATATGGGGGAAAGTTAGCTTACTAGATAGCGTTCACTGAGATATTGAAACTCATCATTTAATGAAAATTGGGTAATTTTTGTCAGTTGAGTGTCCAGTTGATAAAAAAGAAGGGATAATGACACAAATAGTCCCTGAACTTTGGCCAAATGTGCAATATGATCCATGAACTTTTAACTTGTTCAATATAGTCCTTGAACTTTAACCTACTGTTCAATGTGGTCCATGAATTTTTAATTTGTTCAATGTGGTCCCTGGACTTTTTTTACATGTTCAATGTAATCCCTGGACTATATGAAAATGTTCAATTTAGTAATTCAATTAATTCAAGTTCAGGGACTACATTGAACATTTTCATATAGTTCAGGAACTAAATTGAAGATGTACCAAAAGTCTCAAGGATCATATTGCATATTGAGTTAAAGTTCAAGGATTACATTAAATAAATTAAAATTTCAGAGACTACATTGCACATTGACCAAAGTTCAGGGACTATTTGTGCCATTTTCCCATAAAAGAAAAGGAGAAAAATTATCAATGAAGAAAACTTGGAAACAATATCCCAAGATCAAGATTGTGAAAATCGCTTTTTTAACTAGGATTGCTATGGTGTTTACAAGATCGTATTGTGAGATTGAATCGTAAAATTGTAAGATCTTATAAACTATGAGAAACATCCCTAAAAATGTTAGTGGAATGACATACTCGTGAGAAAAACATTTAGGTTACATAATAAAATAACTTTTAGAATACATGGAGGAAAATATACAATAAAAATCCGATATCATAAGAATGAGCAAAACAACATCAAGACTTATATAAAACCCGTTTATGATTAAATCATTCGAATTTTGACTTTGATACTAACATTTCTATTTAAAATGCTGAAATATTTGGATGTGTGGAGAATCTCTCTATGTCGTCATCATAAACTGTGGAGCTCAAGAACATGTTTATCTGTTTCTCCTATGTACAGAACAAAAGATTACACCTTTGTTAAAGACCTGCCCACCTCTCCCTGAGGACGAGGAGGGATGAGCTTGTAGCAATTGTTCTGCAGCTTCTGCTAAAACGGAAACCATATATACGTGTTCGGTGTCTTAACCTCTGCTTAGAGATTCCCAGATACATATGCATTTATGCCTCTGTACAACAATAGCGCTTAATACACGATCCTAGCATATTATGTTGCTCAGGCATTAGATATTTTAGTCAGGTAGATCCAAAAAGTTCCAAATTGAATTAGACACCACAATAATCCAAAGTTTTCAAATGTATCTGAATACAATTTCAATCGTGTAAAAGCCAAGATAAATAAAGGACATCAATGCTAAAAAGCCACAACACATGTTGTCATAGAATGACAGGCACAAAGCTTAATGCCACCGATTGTAAGGGTACACGGTGTAGATCGCCTGGAGGGCCGTAAGCAGCAAGAGGATAATGGCAGCAAAGAGAGAGAGGCATGTCCACGGACTGCTGAAACGTTCGCGGATGAGGCTCCTCCACCAGACGCGGCACTTGCTTTCGTAGTACCGCTCGTAATACTCATTCACCTCCTTGATTTCGTTGTACAAGTAGCCCCGACTGCGATCGTAAATAACCTCTCTACACTTCATCAACAGATTTGCTACGGCCTCATTGCTTCCCAACGCGTTATTGATGATCCCGTGCTTGTGGAGAATCTGAATGTCCCCGGGGCTATTGACCAAACTGTTCCAGAACATTAAGTAATTCGTGAAGATGGGCTCGAGGTGGTCAACTTTCAGTTCGTACGCAACGAAATTCAAAAGGGGAGAGACGGTGCGGTCGTTGATGGACAATGGAGGGACCCGTAGAGTGCCGTGACCGAACTCGATGTCCAGTAAGTCGTGGCCCTTCCTCTTCATGAACTGCACGCCCGCCTCTTCCAGCTCCGATGCGAAGTGTAGGACGAGGCCAACGATACTGCCATTGGGTTTCGACTGCGATTTGACTCGATTATTTCCCTTCTTGCGGACTTTCTCACTCACCGATTGGAGGAAGGCAGAGTGGAAAACCTCGAGCAGATGATCCTTGGGTTTTTTGGTGTCCAAATTAGAGGCAGCATTCTGCCCGGGGAACAGTGGGCCAAAGAAGGTGATCGCGAGTTCTTCCAGCGGCACAGCTTGTTGATGATCAATGTTGTTGCTGTCGTTGATCAGCTTGTACAGTTCCTCGAGAACGAATAAAGGTAGTTGGTTCTCAAGCAATAGAAGGTCGCGTCGAAGGGTTGTTAGAATCCCGGGGATGGTGAAAATCGGATCATTTGCAATTGCCTCCCCAGTGGACTGCAAGCAAAAACGATCAAAGATTTAAGCTATAAGACTAACAGAAGTTGGATCGATGCCTAATTTGGAATGCATTTTTAAGCTTCTAATTGAATATTCTTTTGGATCAGTCGGTTTGAAGGATAGACATGAAGTTTTAGATAGACCACAATTAATTTCCTCAAAAAAAGTTAAGCTGATAAATGATGGAGATTGTTTAGTATTTAAATGCCGCTCTACCTTCTTGTGGACAAGGTCGTAGGAAAGGCGCAATAGTTCGACCACGAAGCAACCATCGACGACCATCGTCTCTACTGCGTCTTCGCTGCGCATGGAAGAGAGCATATCATCTCCCTCGTGACTATTAATCGCATAACAGGCCCTCGTTTCCTTCTCCAATTTCTTCATGGCTTCCAAAAGGTCATCCAAAAGCGCGGCTTTCGCCAGCCGACCGGCATCATTGTCTTGTTCACGTTCACGGTCATCGGACACTCTCTCCCCCTCGGTCGTCCTCGACGTATCTCCATCCCTTCTCCACCGCTCCAACTTGCCTCCGAGAAGGCGGACTAGAAACCGCTTCTTGTGCTTTTCGAAGTTCTTCAGTCGAGACGCATGTTCATCCCCAAATTTGTACAGACCGATGCATATCATTTCGGGATCGAATGCGTTTTTGCGAACTTCCCGCCAGTTGCGAGGGACTCGTTCGATGGTTACAGAACTATTCCTATCGGAAAATGACCCTCCGTCCAAGAGCTTCTTGATTAAGCCCAACGCTTGAGGCTGAGGCGGCAGCGGCTGCGGCGGCTGCAACGGCGCCGGCGGCTGCAGCGGGCCGGCGGCAGCGACGGCGCTGGCAACGGCCGCCACTGCCTCAGCTGCGGGAACAGCCGAGTCAGCGGCCCCAGCAGCAACCGCAGCTGCGACGGGGAGACAGTGGCAGCCGCCGCCGAGGCGGCAACGGCAGCGGTGGCGGCGGCGGCCGCCGAGGCGGCGGCAGCGGCGGCTGCAGCGGTGACGGAGGCGATGGCCGAGGTGGCGACGGCGGAGGCGACGGTGACGGCAGCAGCGGCAGCGATGGCCGAGGCGGCGACGGCGGAGGCGGAGGCTGCGGCAGAGGTGGCGGCGGCGACAGCAACGGGGGCAATGGCTGAGGCGGCGGTGGCAGCTGCAGCGGTGGCAGCGGCAGCAACCGAGGCAGTAGTGGCTGCGACGGCGGAGGTGCAGGCGACGGTGGCGGTGGCGATGGCGGAGGCGGCGGAGGCAGAGGCGGCGGCAGCAGTGGTGACGGAGGCAATGGCCGAGGCGGCGACGGCGGAGGTGACGGCGATGGCCGAGGCGGCGACAGCGATGGCGGCGACAGCGTCGGCAACGACCGACACTGCCTCAGCTGCGGCAACAGCCTAGTCAGCGGCCCCTGCAGCAACCACAGCTTCGACGAGGGAGACGGTAGCAGCCGCCGCCAAGGCGACAGCTGCCGAGGCTGCGATGGCGGCGGCTGCCGAGGCGGCGATGGCGGCGGCTGCGGTGGCGGCGGCGGCGGCAGCGACCAAGGCAGTAGTGGCGGCGACGGCGGAGGTGCAGGCGACGGTGGCGGCGGCGATGGCGGAGGCAGAAGCGGCGGCAGCAGCGGTGACGGAGGCGATGGCCGAGGCGGCGACGGCGGAGGTGACGGTGACGGCACTAGTGGCGGCGATGGCCGAGGCGGCGACAACGATGGCGGCAATGACCGAGGCGGTGACAGCGGCAGCGGCAGCGGCGGTGGCGGCCGAGGCTCTGGAGACATTGTGGAAAGAGTATAAGCTCAAATGAAACAGATAGATTCCTGGTGGAATCAAGGTATGTATGTGTACGAGTGGAGATGGAACTTTGGTTCATGAAGACACCTGCGCAAGCGTCGGTGACTTTATATAATAAGTGGAGTTTTCACTTCAGAGAATGACAGTCAAGTGTCCAGGCAAGTAATCGTGTGACACGCATCGCGTTTCCAAAATAAAATTAACTACTGCGAATTTAACTCATACGCGAGCTGACTTCATCCGCCAAACAATGTGTTTACAGAAACCCTATTTTGCTATATTTATTGCCGAATTCTATGTCCCATGCCTAAAAATAGAGGATCTTTTCCGTGCTGGTAAATTTTAATTCGTATTACTACTTTTTCGAATAACTTGTTGATAACTTATCAATATTTTTAATGAAATTATGAACCTTTTGAGTAATGCACAAATTACGAATTTTCATTTGCATTACTTGTAACGCTTCAAATATATTAATCTTATACGAAATTATCAAACTAAATTAAATTGACTTACCAACTTTTATTAGGTAATATTACCGACTAGTTTTGGGTTGTCAACTGTTATTAAGTAACTCACTAATATTTAACTTATATTTTTGTTAACTTGCCAGCCTTTATTTGCCATAGATGGTAACTCCCTAAATTTACCAGCTCTTTAGAGAGATTACGAACCTAAATTATCATGAATCACTAACTTTCTTCGGAAAAAAAAACGCCACAAGTGTCATAACTTTCGTACAATACTCACTTCAATTGCATAATTTTTTTTTGTTCGATTACTTGAATGCCACGTCAGTGAAAAATTGATACCTAAGTGCATTTTCCAGTGATTGTCTTTCAGGATTTTTTAAATTAAATTTTGATTCCAACATGGCTTTTTTTGAAGGCAATTCGGATCCAACACGGACAATCTTCAATTGGCATGGCAAAAAAGGCCCAAAACGACAGTCTTTTCGGCCCTTTTGTTCAGCTAAGTTGATCTGAAATGGAAACCCTAATTCTAGAAGGGGGAATTCATCTCAGCAAGTGCAACCGCCTTCTGCAGCCCTGGCTGCTTCTTCCATCTTACTGGCTGCAACTAATCTCGTCTGAGCGGTCTTCGTGCTAGCATTCATCTGCTGGATTGATGGAAGGGCACTTGATATTCCAAAGTTTCTAGTTTCGTCCACCTCGGTGTATTGCCCAGGCTTGTAGTTCCCATCTGGAAGCAATAAGAGCAAAGAACGTCGAAGTACTCTCGAAAGGTTTCTCTTTGGCACAACCCAAAAGCACAAGCACGAAAAAAGGAAAATAACAATGATGCAAAAGATTGGCATAACAGGAAACCGACATCTTCCTTCTCACTATTCAAAAGCGCCGACTGGGTGGACGCCTTCTTCGACGACTTCTCGCCACTACGGAGCGAGCTGACTTCATTTTTGTCAGTTTGGCTAAAAAGCCTTATTACGTTTTCAGTCTATAACGATAAAAGAAGAAGGGAAGATATCGTAGATCTGCAGGCAATGTGTTGCAATGATGTTCTCGGGGAGCTGGTAAAGTCCGCCCCCTTATCTGTTCTTCTAACCGCTCGGTGCTCGGTGTAATTCGTAAAAGATACATATTGTTACGATTTGGCGAGTTCTTACATAAAATTTCTATACCTAATCCTTCGATTTTGGTATTGTAAATTTTCCTTGTATTGTCGTTCCAATCATATTATTATTATTATTTAAAGATGTGTTGGGAGGTAATTGAACTGATTAGTTGAATGGATGTATCCAAAAAGAATTGGGGGTTGTGGTGGGGTAAGGGAGATGATGATGTTGATGGAGTTGAAGAGGGCAATAGGAGCCGAGGTGGCCCGAAAGGGGAGACGTGTTTTCGATTCGAATATATCACATTTCATGCATGAAGTGATCCCCTCGACTTTATCTTGATTCATTTTGTCGCATTAAAGATTTTGAGTCACTCATGTATACCTTCGATATTTCAAAATCTCTATCCTTTGCTCGTCATTCACGACAACCCCTCCGTAGCAAAAGAAAATAAAGTAATCTAAACTTTCCGACTCTCATGACGAGCCGTGGATCTAGAGCAATGATAAGTGATGTCCAAGCTAGGTTAAGTCGTCTGTTTAGAGCATTTCTCAGGGAAATTACCAAAAAAATCCTAAATCAATTATACTTGTGCCAATTCAGTTCTAAATCTTTCAATTTGGCCAATTTAGTTCTAAACCTTTTGACAATTTTGCCAATTTAATCATAAACTTTTCAATTGTGCTAATTGAATCAGAAACCTTTGGGTCAATACCACGAAAAACCCCAAACTGGTACACTTATGATAAATTTACCCCAAACTAATTTTTTGACCACGAAAAATCTCAAATTGATACATCTATGACAATTTTACCCCAAACTAATTTTTTTATCATGAAAAATCCTAAATTGGTACACATGTGACAAGTTTACCTCAAACTAATTTTTTGACTGGTATACCTGTGACAAATTTACCCCAAACTAATTTTTTGACCATCAAAAACCCCAAACTGATAATTCTATAATAAATTTACCCTTCGTTAGTGGATAAATTTGAGGTTTTTCGTGGTATTTACCCTATGGATTTCCATGTGGACTTGCCACGTCACCATACCACGTCACCATGTGTCATACATGTCTGTAAATTTAACGGTAAAATTGATGGAAGCTAATGGAGGGTAGATTTGTCACAAGTGTACCGATTTGGGGTTTTTGGTGGTAAAAAAATTAGTTTGGGGTAAATTTATCATAGGTGTACCATTTTGGAGTTTTTAGCTGTAAAAAAATTAGTTTGAGGTAAATTTATCACAAGTGTATCAGTTTTGGATTTTTCATGGTCAAAAAATTAGTTTGGGGAAAAATTGTCACAAGTGTACTAATTTGGAGTTTTTCATGGTATTAACCCGAAACCTTTTGACGATTTACTAATTTAGTCCTCAATTTCTTGACGATTTTTCAATTTAGTCCTTATAGGCAATTTTGCTCACTAACATAGCGGTTCAGTCAATGTTGGTCGTCCTACATGGCATGTCTAGTGTCGGCCGGCGCTCACATGGACGATTTTTGTAGATTTTTCTAATTCTTTTTTCCTTTTGTTTCTTTTTTTTCCTTTCCTTTCTCCTTTTTTCTTTTTTCCTTATTTCCCTCTGCCAGTCGCTGACCACCTCACCCAATCCTTGCCGCCGGTCGTGTAAAAAAGGAAAAATTAAAAAGACAAAGGAATGAAAAAAAATAAAAAGGAAAGAAAAAAAAGGAAAAAATTCAAAAAAATTTTAAAAAATTACAACAATCATCCATGTCAGCGCCAGCCGTGCCGCCTAGGATAACCGGCGCATGGGTGGTGCTGATTGGACCGTTGTCAGTGATTTTCGGCCAGAATTAACTGGAAAGACTAAATTGTCAAATCATCAAAAGGTTTAGGACTCAATTGATATAATTGAAAAGTTGCATACTAAATTGGCACAAGTGCAATTAGTTTAGGATTAAATTGGCCAAATTGAAGAGGGGAATGGGAACTGAGGTATTTCATGCATGAAGCGATCCCCTCGGCTTGATTCCTTTCGTTGTATTAAAGATTTTGAGTCACTCATACGTACCTTTGACATTTTAAAATCATTATCCTTTGTTCGACCATTCTTTAAAGTTTTCCATCCTTAGCAAAGGAAAATCAAGTAATCTAAACTTTCCAACTCTCATGACAAGTCATGGATCTATAGCAATGATAAGTGATGTCCAAGCTGGGTTAAGCTATCTCTTTAGGGCTTTTTTTTTTATTAAAATTACCAAAAAGGTCCCAAACTTTTTGCACTTGTGCCAATTCAATTCCAAATCTTTCGATTTGGCCAATTTAGTCCTAAACATTATGATAACTTGCCAATTTACTCCTAAACATTTCAGTTGGCCTAATTGAGTCATAAACCTTTTGCGATTTGCCATTAGTCCTGATTTTTTTTACAATTTGCCAATTTAGTCATTCTGACTATTTTTGGCTAGAATCACTGACGTGGCTGTCCGATTAACATTGGTTGTTGTACTTGGCATGGATGGCGCTGAAGTGGATGATTTTTGTAATTTTTTTTAGATTTTCTTAATTTTTTTCTTTCCTTCTCCTTTTTCTTTTTTCCTTATTTCCCTTCACCGGTCATTGGCCGCTGGCCAGGGCGAGGCATGCAATGCCTTCACTGGCCATAGGAGAGGGCGGCCCTCGCATGCCTCTAGCAAGGACTGGATGAGGGAGTCTCGGCTCTCGCCGGCAGTCAACGACCAGCCGATTGAAATAAGGAGAAAAGAAAAAAGAAAAAGGAAAAAATTTTAAAAAAATTAAAAATTGTAAAAATCATCCACGTTAGCGCCAGCCCTGCCACCTTGGACGACCGATGCTAACTGTACTGGCACGTCAGCGACTTTCGACCAAAATTAGTAGAATAAACTAAATTGGAAAATCGTTAAAAAGTTTAATATTAAACTATTAAATCGTTAAAAGGTTTAGGAGTAAACTAGAACAAGTGCAATAGGTTTATGACTTTTGACTAAAAAAAAAGAGATTTATAACTAAATTAGCCAAATTGAAGAAGGGAATAGGAACCGAGGTGGCCCCAAAGAGGAGAAAGTGATTAGTGCTTTTTATTCGAATGTATCACATTTCATGCACGAAGTGATACCCTCGGCTTTATTTTGAGTCCTTTTGTCATACCAAAGATTTTGAATCACTCATGTGTACCTTTGACATTTCAAAATCTTTATCCTTTGCTCGTCATTCACGACAACCCCTTCTTTAATGTTTTCCGTCCTTAGCAAAGGAAAATCAAGTAATCTAAACTTTCTAACTCCCATGACGAGTCATGGATCTATAGCAATGATAAGTGATGTCCGAGCATGGTTAAGTTTAAAGCTTTTTTCGTTATACATGCCTTTTGAATTTTGCATGTGGATGATTTTCATCTATTAGAGGATGGAGGAAAAGCATAACTTATTGAAGCGGCGTTACGTCACATCTAAATCTCTACAATATACCCTTTGCTTCTTTTACTTATATTGCGTCGGACTTTGTAAAGGATGGAGGACAAGCATAACTTATTGAAGCGGCAATACATCATATCTAAATCTCTACGGTATACCTTTTTTTTCTTTTACTTATATTGTGTCGGACCTTGTAAATACGAAAATACTCAAAATTGCCAATTCCAAATCCTATCTCTTTTTTTTTCTTTTTCTTTTTTTCGTTTGAAAAAATGACGCAATAGCATCAGAATCAGATTCCCCGGTGGACAATTACAAACGTAACGCTCTAAAAAAAAGTGGGAATGATCATGAATTAACAGAAAAAAGAAGGAAAGTACCAATTATGTGAATATGCCGAAGAGAGAACCTTTCTTCAACCATGGTTTTCCAGAGAACTATTGGGTCCTGACATACATCTTGGTTCCCAAATTACACCATTCAGGACAATAGGACCAACAAAATATCAAGATCAAACCATATCTTGGAGGGGCATAAAGCCATTGGCTTTTTTCTCGTATTATCGTCACGTATAATGAGAAAAAAAATTGAAATTGGATGATTAATTTGCTAGATACCACTCTAAAGAGTCTCAGTCCTTCTTTCTTCAGGCTACGGGCCCGTTTGGTTCGGCTTTTCAAATGCAACTTGGGGGAATGCAAATACCTTTAGGTAATAACCACTTGGGGAAATGTAAGTGGTGTTTGGTAAAAAAAAAATTTGTGAAGCTACTTTAGCCTAAGTAGTGTTTGGTAAATTTTTTTTTGCAAAGAGCTTTGGCAATTTTTAGTTTTAATATTCCGATTTTGCCCCTATTATTGTTCATCTTCTTCACCGGCGAGGGTGGCCTGCGAGGGCAGATCTGGCCGGCGAGGGTGGCCGGCAAAGCGCCGGCGAGGTCGCCCGACCCAGGTGACGGCCGCCTGGGGTTGGGCGACTGCCTAGGCGCCGTCGCCTGGGTCGCGCAACCTTAGGCGACGTCGGCCTGGGTCGCGCAACCCGGCGACGGCCGCTGAGGTCGCGCGACCCGAGCGACGGCGGCCGCTTGGGTCGCGCGACCAAGCGACGGTTGGCTGGAGTCACGACCTCGAGCGGCGTCGGCTCGGGTCGCAACCCCAGCGGCGGTCGCCGGGGTGGCGCGACCTCAAGCGGCCGTCGCACAGGGTCGCGCGACCTCGAGCGGCCGTCGCCGGGGTTGCGCGACACAGGCCGACGTCGCCTGAGGTCGCGTGACCCAGGTGACGGCGCCTGGGCAGTCGCCTGACCGCAGGCGGCCGTCGCCTGGGTCGGGCAACCTCGTCGGCCAGATCCGCCCTCGCCGGCCACCCTCGCGGTGAAGAAAATGAACAGTAACAGGGGCAAAACCGAAATAAAGAAATTTGAGTTAGGGCAATTTGGGAAGGGAAAAATAGGTTTCAGCATTTGTGAAATGCTGAAAGCCCAAAGCTAGTCCGGACCAGCTTTGGGCTTTCAGCATCCCAAATGCTAACTTTCGGCTTTCCGTTCCCCAAACACTGAACCAAACGGTTCAACATTTTGGGAAGGGGCTTTCGATTCCGAAAGCCTCTTTCCAAAGCTAAACCAAACAGGGCCTACCTCTGATGTCCTTAAAAGAGTAAGTTGGATTCATGAGTTTTTTTGTTTTCTGGTGGATTTTGCTTGGGCCTTTACTCTTTTTTCTTTTGTGGAACTCGAACCGGAACTTGAGGAATTTATCAAATAGGCCTGGCGATGATGAATGGACAGGTCCAACTTTTCGGCGCATTATGGCCTTGCTTATTCTCACGAATTGCAAAATAAGTAGCCATTCGATTTGAATCATGATATACAAGAATTATTCAAACTAAACTAGTACATGATCCCAAAAAGGAAAGAAAAAAGTGCTAGGCAATGTTAAAAAGAGTGTTGACGGGACAAGAAAGTATTTAATATTTGTTTTGCAACATGTTGATATGGCATCGCTCATTATTTTGAAAGTTATGAAAAAAAATAATCAATTAGATGTGAAACATTGGATGCATCGATTTGAAAGACTTGAGTCTACCAGTTTCCAAAACCAGGTAAAAATTTCTCTTTCTTCCACTGGTTGTGCACGCTGAAGGTTTACTTATGCTAGTTTCCTTAGGAAGGGTCCTACTTGATCTGTAAGTTGGTTATTTTGAAGTATGTCCATTTGATTGTGAAGTTGTTACGGTCAACGTATAGATGTAGAGGACTTTAAATAGCTGATCTGGCAGCTATTTGTTGGATGAACATGGTCAATGCTCGCGGATAATCATTCGTACAAGATATGTGTGATTGGATTGAATGAAGATAATGTGCTTGTTGATGGATATGTGTGTACCTTCGCTAAACGAGGGAATACCACTTGTGATGTGAGGACTATGAAGTTGTTCTGAAAGCAAAAAAACCCATCCACAGGCAGTAACTTATCTTCTAGTTTAAGAAGCAAATCTTATGGCATGCAAGTTAACCTGCATATGGCATAGGGCCCACGGTGCTATGCATGTTGGTTTCAATGAATAAAGTCTGCCATACCTTGTATTCAGACATATATCACTTTCTTTCTGATATTATATGCGCCATCGAGATTCGATCTATTTGCCTTGATGGCAAACTGTTTGGAAGCACTTCGATTTTGTCGTGAAAAACTGGACCATTGGCTCTACTAAAATGCAATTTCTTGTGAATTTTTTTGACGTCATTTATGTGAGACACATATTGCAGCTTGCAGGGACATTATGCAGTTTTGCAGGCCCTTGCTCTTTAAGAAGATTACTTGCCGGAAATATAAGATGTAACAGTGCCTGATGAGGAAGGCCTAGCTAGGTAAGGAAAAAGGCTCCTCCTGTTGTGCCTGTTTGCTTCCTATTTACGTAGGGATGTACAGAGAACTTGATTCTTGGTACCACTTTGGGCTGACTTTTCAAGCTTGCCCGCAGGCCAGGAGTTGTTAATGCATTAGAAGGGTTCAAGCTCTCTGTTTATAGGGATAAGTATGAGGAGAGCGATAATGGTGGCCACTAACAGGTGAGCGAGGTGTCCAAGAAACAAAAAGCCCTTGCAGATGGCCGCATTCAGAAATCTGCACTGTACAATTGGACTGAGCTCGCTGATTGCGCAGGTAGTTGAAACAGGATCTCACTCCTTTTTGTTTCCCCTGCTAATTTTTTATTTTTAAAATTCGATTCTTGTCATGTAATTTTAGCCTACAGTTATTGGACAAGGTATTTCTCTCGAGCTAGTTAAAAAGAGTTTCCTCCGTTCTCTGATATATATCATGCGGATTATTTGTTTATTTATTTGTGAAGAAAGTGCATTTAGCAACCAAATAGAGGCTACAGGTGATTTGCTTGAGGAGAATACGTGAAAGCTCCAGAGAGGAATCTTCTCTTCACGCTGTTCCTTCGAGCTGTGCTTTCTTTTTCTTGTTCGCTTCGGTGCTATTTTGGAAGCTATTGAATCGCCATGATCAACTATAGGTGTATTCCTTTATCGGCATATGAATAGGGCGAGAACGAGGCCCCTAGAAATGGGGGGGAAAAGAAAAGGGAGGGGGGATAAGGTCTATTTTTTTTTTTTCACTTATTACCGAATTCGAAGAGCAAGGGTTTTATATTGCTTAACCTTAGACACTTATAGCTGCAATAGACTCCCAAGAATGCTGAAAGTCCAACCGCGGCATCAAATGCTGTCAAGTGAAACTTGGGTGGCATTCATCGATGACAAGCTCCTTCTTGCATTTATAAAGTTACATAGCTTCCGACTTAGAGAAATTGGTTCTCTAGAAGAGCAGGCGGACGGGTGCCCCCTGTGACACACCTTGTACTTATTTAATGAGATGATTGCATCATGAGGAAGCGTAGCCTTAAATCTATGTAGTTATCATTAACTGTGAAGCTCAAAAACATGTTTACCTGTTTCCCCTAAATACAAAATAAAATAAGGAAAATTGTCCAAAAAGTCATAAACCTATTATACTTTTATCAACTTAATCTTAAACCTTTTAATTGTGCCAATTGAATTATAAATATTTTTACGTTTTGCCAATTAAATCCATCTGGCTAATTTTAACTTGAAATCGCCGATGTGGATGCCGGTAATGCCATGTAAAACAGCTAGTGCTAACGTGGTTTTCTAATTTTTGAAAAAAAATATTGAATTTTTTATTATTTTTTATTATTTATTTTTCTTTCTTTCTTTTCTTTTTTTCCAACCAAGTCCGGCAAGGGTCGGCGACCCTCCCTGAAAATTACATTTGGCAAAGGCGCAAAAAATTTAGAACTTTGTGGACAATTTTACTGAACAAAATATTTCCTTTGTCAAAGTCCGGCCTGCCTCTCCCTGAAAACAAGTAGCGCTTAGCTTGTAGCAATTCTTCCGCAGCTTCTGCTGAACACTAACAATATGCTTTCAGTGTCCTAACCACTGCTTAAAGAATCCCAAATGCATATCTTTCATGCCCATTGAACCAGATTATGTACCACAATAGCGTATAATACCCGATCCTAGCATATTATGTTGCTCAGGCATTATTTATCGTAGTTAATAGATCCAAAAAGTTTAAGATTGAATTTGACACCTCAACAATCTGAAATTTTCAAATGTAGCGACAATACAATTTCTACCAAGTAAAGCCACTACGCAACCAAGACAGACAAATACGGGACATCAAATGCTAAAAAGCCATAGCCAATAACACATGTCATAGAATGACAGGCACAAAGCTTAATGCGGCCGATAGTAAGCATACACGGTGTAAAACGTCTGGAGGAGGGTAAGCAGCAAGAGGATAATGGCAGCAAAGAGAGAGAGGCATGTCCACGGACTGCTGAAACGTTCCCGGATGAGGCTTCTCCACCAGACGCGGTACTTGCTTTCGTAGTACCGCTCGCAATACTCATTCACCTCCTTGATTTCGTCGTACAAGTAGCCCAGATCGAGATCGTAAATGACCTGCCTACACCTCATCAACAGTTTCGCCACGTCCTCCGCACTTCCGAAGTTATTGATGATCCCGTGCTTGTGGAGAATCTGAATGTCCCTGGGGCTATTGACCAAAGTGTCCCAGAACATGAAGTAATTCGTGAACAAGGGCTCTGAGTGGTTGACGCTCAGTTCGTACGCAACGAAATTCAAAAGGAGGGAGATAGTGTTGTCGTTGAGGGACAACGGAGGGACCTGTAGAGTGTCATGACTGAACTCGATGTCCAGTAAGTCGTGGCCCTTCCACTTCTTGAATTGCATGCCCGCCTCTTGGAGATCCGATGCGAAGTGTAGGACAAGGCCCCTCATACTGCCATTGGGATTCAACTGCGACTTGACTCGATTCTTTTCCTTCTTGGCGACTTTCTCACTCACCGATTTGAGGAAGGTAGATCGGAAAACCTCGAGCAGATGAGCCTTGGGTTTTTCGGTGTCCAACTTAGAGGCAGCATTGCGTTGGGGTAACAGTGGGTCGAAGAAGGTGACCGCGAGTTCTTCCAGCGGCACAGCTTGTTGATGATCAATGTTGTTCTTCTTGTTGATCAGCTCGTAAAGTTTCTCGAGAACGAAGAATGGTAGTTGGTTCTCAAACAATAGAAGGTCGCGTCGAAGGGTTGTTAGAATCTGGGGATTGGTGAGGATCGGATCGTCCTCAATTGCCCACGCAGGGATCTGCAAGCAAAAATGACCGATGAATTAAGCTAAGACTAACAGAAGTTTGATCAATGCCTAATTTAGCATGTATTTTAACCTTCTGATGGAATATTCTTTTGGATGGGTCCGTTTGAAGGATAGACAAGAAGCTGTAGATAGACCGCAATTAATTTCCTCAACAAAGTTTAGCTGATAAATGAAGGACATTGTTTAATATTTGAATGTCGCTGTACCTTATTGTGGACAAGGTCGTAGTAAAGGCGCAATAGTTCAACCACGAAGCAACCATCGACGACCATCATATGCACTTCAGTGTTGCAGAGTCTGAAGGGCATAAACTGTCTGTCGTGAATATTATTCACATAACAGGCACTCGTTTCCTCCTCCAATATCCGCATGGCTTCCACAAAGTCATCCAAAAGCGCGGCTTTTGCAATCCGACCACCGTCATCGTCTTCTTTACGTTCACGGTCATCGGACACTCTCTCCCCATCGGCGGACGTCCTCGGCATATCTCCGCCGCTTCTCCACCGCTCTAACTTCCCTCCTAGAAGGCGGTTTAGAAACCGCAGCTTGTGCCTTTCCATGACCCACAGTCGATCCGATTGCTCACTGAGGGGACCGATGCATATCATTTCGGGATCGAATGCGTTGTTGTGAACTCCACGCCAGTTGCTAGGGACTCTGTCGATGGTCCGCAAACTCTCCGCATTGTGAGCGAGGCCTCGGTCGCCGAACCCCTCGATGCCGACGAGCCAATGCATAGACCGAGGCTTGTCAGCATCGCCTCGTTCCATCGTGGCGAGAATATGAAGCCCAAAAGAAACAGACAAATTCTAGGTGGAATCAAAGATTTGTGTATGAGTCGAGATGCAACTTTAATTCCTGAAGACACATACGCAAGTGTTCGGGAGTGGAGACATTATATGATTAATTAATGGAAAGAAAAACGCGCGGCTTCAAAAGTAAACGCGTGGGGAGGGAGAGAGGGTTTCACACTCACACGAGCATCACGTTACCAAAAAGAATAATAATAAAAAAAGAGCTAATTACCACGAATTTAACTTACACGGGGTGACGCTAATATAACAGTACCGTTATTTACCACAAATAACGGTGCCACAGTGACCACAGAATCCCATTTGTGAGGATTTGGCAACCGGAGCTTGGGAAGGTTATGAGAGATTTTGAAGCCCATAACTACAGAGATATTGAAAAGCAAATTCATGGGGTATTATTTTTTTAATATGGAATGACGAGATCCTGGACTATTGACTTTAGAATTTTTTTTTAATGGCATTAAAAATGTTTTCCCTTAACATACTTTCAACAAAAAAAAATGCACAGGTTACATACACAACAAATCTATCCTCACTTTTTCAAATAAAAAAAATGCTTGAACATTTACTTAAAAGGATAAAATAACCCACGGTTAAGTTTTTCATTCCTGCAAATCGATGAATTCGCTAGAATTCATCGATTTGGAACACTAACTTTTGGGTAAAAACAACTCGATTCACTAATCCTAGCTCATTCAATATGGCATTGCTAATTTTTTTCTATTTTCATAGTGAAACAGACAAGTTCTTGATTAAAAAACTACAAGTGTAAAATGTTTTGCAACGGTGATGCCATTAATAGTAATCCTACATTTATTTTCTCTTAAAATAAAGATATTTAGATTGTTTTTTTTGCGCTTAATGTGATGATGTTAATAAGTTTATTTTTGCTATTCCCTTATTTTTATTTTGGCTGATTTTTTTTTCTAATACAATAAATCCCACTTACTGGGCTTGCAAACCCACCATGTGGGATTTATGATTTTCCAACGGAACCGGGTACACAAGTCACTCGGTTTCCTTGGGAAAATATGTGGTGCAGGACAATACCGTTACTCTCCCACGAGTAACAGTACCGTCCTGCTCTCATTTCCCTTTAATTTAACTTAAATGCGAGCTGACTTCATCCACCAAAACTTGCTGTAAATCAAGAAATTGCTATATTTATGGCAGAATTCTTTGTTCCACGCCCAAAGTTAGAGAATCTTTTCCGTGCCGGTAAATTTTAATTCGTGTTAGTCGGTGTCAAATAATTATTAGTAAAAAAGTTACTGACAATAGCTTTTTTGAGTAACTTGTGATAAACTACCAATATTTTTATTTTTATACCCACATGCGCATGGTCGAGTTGGTGGGCGCTTTCTTTCCCTCTCTAGAGGTTCTGGGTTCGAATCCCCGCTCGATTCCGTAATTTAAGTAGGGGGCCCTGGCAGTGGGTTGCTGGGCTAGTCTCCCCCGAGGTATAGGCACCCCGATTACCTGTGCGGGCTCGTCCTCGGGGAATGGTGGTGGATCCTCGGTTACCAAAAAAAAAAAAACTACCAATATTTTTATAAAATTACGAACCTTTTAAGTAATTTACAGTTTACCAATGTTTATTTGTATAATTAGTAACGCTTCAAGTATATTAATCTTTGAATAAAAATATATATATTCATCTTATATGAAATTATCAACCAAAATTAGATTGACTTGCCAACTTTTGTAAAATAAATTACCGACTATTTTTGGGTTACAACTCTTATTTAAGTAACTTACCAATGTTTAATTGTATTTTTTATTAGCTTACCAACCTTTATTTCCCAACGATAGCGACTCCCTTAATTTATTAACTCCTTACAGAGATTACAGACCTCAATTAGCTTGACTCACTAACTTTCTTCTACTAAAGGACACTACAAAATTTATAATTTTCGTACAATGCTCACTTCAGTGTCGTAACTTTTTTTTTTTAACTCGAATGCCACATTGGTGAAAAATCGACCACTTAAGTGCTTAGTCTGTCAATTAGTCTTACATGACTTTTAAATTTGATTTTGATTTCGACGTAACTTTTTTAAAATAAATTTGACTCCAGCATGAACAATCTTTAATTGATGTGGCAAAAAAGGGTCAAAAGGACAATCATTTCTATCATTTTGTTCACACAAATTGATTTGAAATTGAAACCCTAATTCTAACAAATTGGAATCCATGCAATAGATTTATAACCGAATTAGTAATTATCCCGTCTATTTGGTATAACTTCTTCGCAACAGATTCAACTATGAAAAGGGGTGCTACTATTTTTTAAGGTGTTTGTTAAACATCTCATAGCGGTAACACCTTCAAAATTAGAGTAGCTTAGAATACTTTTGGGAAGCTGTCTCACCTAACTTTCAAATTTGCTGGTTTGAAACATGTATTACTAAATATATAAGTTACAACATTCCACAGCACAAATATACTCTAAACACAACGTAAGAGATAATAGATATACATGGGGAAAAAAGGATTAAGCAGATTAACTAAGGGAGAATTAAGAAAGATCTAACTGATCAAAGATAAAAAAAAAAAAAAGATTAAATATGAGTTTGGAAATTACTGGAGTTTTAAGAAATTATAATTTGAAGTACTAGACGTTTAGTTTATGTAAATTTTTAGGGGCTTTTCGTGCAATTTGAGGGGAAAAGTTTTGTTTGGAAACATAGGGAGAGTGGAAACTAAGAAAAGGGAGGAAAAAGTTGGCTAAAACTTGAAATTTTTCACTCCCAAAAAATCAAAAAAATTTCCTATTTATTTATCTCCGTCTCTCATTTTCCGCCCTGTCCATATTCCCTGGCAAAGCCTAATTGTAGACAATGCATTCAATCATTATTTCATCAGGATGCCCGTCTATGTGGTAAACAAGAAAATCGAATTGATTGAATACTCCAAGAAACAAAGGCGATGTAGTTGCAATTGAATTGCCGTTCATATTTTAAACCCATAAAAAAATTGAATAGTCTGTGGCTTGTCAAAGGAAAGCACTTAATATGAAAAGGGGAGCTACCATTTTTTTAAGGTGTTTGTTAAACACCCCATTGCTATAATACCTTCAAAATTAGAGTAGCTTAGAACACTTTTGGGAAGCTGTCTCACCTAATTTCAAATATTGTAATTTTAAAACATGTATTACTAAATATATGTTACAAAACGGGAAAAGTGTCAAAAAAGTCATAAACCTTTGGCATTGGTGCCAATTTAGTCCTAAACCTTTTTTTGGTGCCAATTCAATCATGAACCTTTTACATTGGTGCCAATGTAGTCCTAAACCTTTTTTTAGTACCAATTCAATCCTAAATTTTTTGCATTTGTGTCAATTTAGTCCTAAACCTTTTGTTTTTGTGCCAATTCGGTTCTTCCGGCCAATTTTGGCTAGATTTTGCTGACGTAAACGCTGGCCGGCGGGCAGCTGGTCACCGATGCTGACGTGGACAACTTTTAATAATATTTTAACATTTTTTTGAATTTTTATTTATTTTTTTCTTTTTTTTTCCCTCCCCTCCCTCCTTCCTCCAGCAGGTCGCCGGACTAGCGACCGGCCAGAGGCCGGCAAAGGCAAGCCTCACCATGGCTGGGTGAGGCTAGATCACCAGATTCGTGCGAGGTTAGGCCTCACCCAATCGCTAGCGAGGCTGGAGCCCTCGCCAGAGGCCTTTCGAGGCCTCTGGCGAGGGCTCGAGCCTTGCCTGCGGCTAGGCGAGGCCCAACCTCACCGGAGGCCACGAGGTCGAAGGCCTCTGGCGAGGGCTCGAGCCTCACCCACTCACCATGGCCGGGCGAGGCTTGACCTCGCCGGATCTGGCAAGGTCGGGCCTCGCCCAGTCGTTGGCGAGGCTCGAGCCTCGCCCGCCCAGCGTGAGGCCACCCTCGTGGCCATCCGGCGAGGGCGAGCCTCGCCAGCCTCTGGCCTTTGGGCAATCGCCGGTCCAGCGACCGACTGGAGGAAGAAGAGAGGGAAGGAAATAAAAAATAAAAGAAATAAAAAATTAATAAAAATTCTTAAAATATTATTAAAAGTTATCCACGTCAACGCCGGTGGCCGTCCACGTCAGCAAAATTTGGCCAAAATTAACCGGAAGGATTGAATTGGCACAAAGACAAAAGGTTTATGACTGAATTGGCACAAATAAAAAAGGTTTAGGACTGAATTGACACAAAAAAAAGGTTTAGGATTAAATTGACAACAATACAAAATGTTTAGGACTTTTTTGACACTTTTCCCGTCACAAAACTCCGCAGCATGAATATACTCTAAACACAACATAAGAGATAATAGAGATATTTGGGGAAAAAAGGATTAGGGAGATGAATTAAGGGAGAATTAAGAAAGATCTAAATGATCAAAGATAAAATATATATATTTTTAAATTTTAGGTTTTGAAAGTACTAGAGTTTTAATAAATTATAAGTTGAAGTACTAGACGTTTAGTTTATGTTTAATTATAATTTTTGTCACTCATTTGACAATATACCATGTAAGTTTTTGGGGGCTTTTCATGAAATTTGAGGGGAAAAATTTTGTTTGGAAACATAGGGAGAGGGGAAACTATGAGATGGGAAGAAAAAGTTGGGTAAAACTTGAAATTTTTCTCTCCCGAAAAATTTGATATTTATCCTATCTATTTATATCCCTATCTCTCATGTTCCTCCCTGGCGAAGCCTAAATGTGGACAATGCATTCGACCATTATTTCATCAGGATGCTCGTCTATAATGTAAACAAGAAAATCGAATTGATTGAATGCTCGAAGAAAACAAAGGCGATGTAGTTGCAATTGTATTGCCGTTCATATTCTATACCCATAAAAGAAATTGAATAGTCCGTGGCTTGTCAAAGAAGAGCACTTAATTAATCGCTCATTATGATATCATTCGATTTCAAGTGCAAGTCAAGCATATCAAACATTGACTAAACGAAATCTGGTCAATAAAAGTGGGTGCATTTTGTTTCTCTCGGCTGTCAGGCAGTCAATATGGTCATTCTTTTTCTCTCTATTTGACTAAACAAAGGACGCCTTTGAAAGTGAATAGACTAAACGAAATCTGGTCAACAAAAGTGGGTGCATTTTGTTTCTCTCGGCTGTCATTCAGTCAATGTGGTCATTCTTTTTCTCTCTATTTTACTAAACAAAGGACGCC